TATTAAACAGTATTACTGACCCTTTATTTTGCTTATTTCAATTTTAATGAAAGGGAATCTGAATTAATGTTTGGATATAAAATTTTCTCTAGATGCATGCCACCAAAATTATAATGATGAACGCGCGGGGGGCTCTTTTCTTCTTGGTGGTTAATTTGAAACATGTTTTTATTTTGACTGATCCAGGGAAATTGTGAATGCTATTTCACTGACCATCCGAATTTCTCTATTGACAACATGCTACATGGGCCATGCATGATACACACTTAGGTGATTATGTATGTTTCAGTACATGACTGACGAAGCAGATTTTTTTTCCTGCAGTAGACCAGTTGCCATCCAAGGCTATAGAACCCGGTCTGTCTTGCTATTTACCCATAGTGGGGGAGAGAAGAGGATTCATACCATTCCCAAGGTTATTAGCACATAAGTGAATGTAATCAATTCAAGTGGAATTCGGACTCAGCTTGTTGATTCACCAGTCCAAGCTGCTATCCACTATTCCACCGTATGTTTTTATTTTATCTGACATCTTTGTGGATACCTTAATGGCCTCTTTTTTTTATCAGTGGGCGTGGGGTGGGGTGTTGAAGGATGGGTTTTCTTGGGTTTGTTCAATCTTACTGAATTTCATCTAGTTAAATCTGGGTTCGATTCTCCTTGGGATTATCTCAAAAGATGATTTTTTTCAATGCATTTTTAATTTTCTTAACATTTCAATGCATCTTCCATCAATTTCAATAATTATCATTCAGTTAGTAAACTCTTTCCTTGTTATGGTCTGGTTCCTTTTACCACGGTGATAGTCCAAGGTAGAACCAATAAAGAAGAACGCAAACACAGGTACGGAATAACACAGATATATTACAAACAGGAATATATACAGAGAAGTAGAAGTGTTAGTATGAACAATCAGGTTTAGTAGAGAGAACAATGTAGTCTCGACCAGTATCACTATTCCAATGTCTTGCAGTAATTGTCTGAACGTGACTGTTTCGGGCTGCCTCTGACTCGACTCTTGACTCAACTTGAGCTACTGACTGACTCCCTTGCCTACTCCTGAGGTGCAGTATTTATTAAGTATGTTATAGTCCGTTATTATTATTATGGGTAAGATCCCATAACACTCCTATTTCTTCCTTCTTTCTTTCTTTCTCTTTTTATTTGATCAATCTCCAGAGATCTCAGTGTCACATTACCACTTTTTTATCAGGTTACTGATTAAGTTTTTCTAAAACCGTGGGAATTACAATGACATGTTTTAAAGAAAACCTAAATAATATAAATTGCATTGTGAAATATACAAAAATTATTAAAAAATATTTTTATTTCCTTAGTTTTAAATTGGGTGTCGCTTATGGCCACATTACACTGAAAACCTGATGCACATACTGTAGAAAAATCACGTGGTAGAGATAAACACTCAGTTGTGGAGCAAGCTAAGTGAATAATAATCCAACCTTTAGAAAGAGAGCTATTTATGTTGCCATGGAGCATCTCATTGTGCTAAAGTGGGATAGTCCATTGCTTGGGCTGTGATTGGCTGCTGGTACCTGAGTGGAGGTATTTCTATATAAATACCAGCTTGATTCATCAGTTAGTTTGCAGGGTTTGTATTAAGTTACAACCTGCTTTATTTTTGTCTGCCAGCTGGATGCTAGCTGGGACCTTTACACCGGTAAGTGCTGTTTATTATTGTTATTCTACACATACAATCACCAAAGTTAAGCAATGTCAAGCTTGATCAGTACCTTGATGGGTGACAACTTGGGAATAACCAGGTGCTGTAAGCTTGGATGTGCAGATGGTGTAATGGACAATGGCTCGGAATTTTTAATTAGAGATCCGAGTTCCAGTTCCTGTTGGGTTCGTTATATTCACTTATGCACAAATACCTTCAAGAAAGGTATGAATCTACCTCTTCTCCCCCCCAGCTATGGGTTAATAAGTAAAGAAAAATTACTTAAGTTAAAAGCATAATTCACCGCATTTTCTATGTGCTGTGTCCTTTCAGAACATTAGCAATCATAGCTCTCCACAATTTTCTGTCCTTTGTAAGCTCTTAATAAATTTTGCCTTTGGCATCCCTCGAATCTATAATACACCACCCACCCCACCTATACTACATCTCAATTTTCATAAGGTAGTATTCATATAAAATAGAAATTTTATTGAAACCTAATTATGTGCAATAATGGATCATATGCAATTCAACTAGAAAAATGAAAAATACAGTGTATCTAAATATAGAGTCATGTCATAATAGATCATACCATATTAAATAAATGTTTTGCAGCAATTTTTTGTTGACCATGTTCACTATAGTCTATGAATATAGAATACAGTGCAGTACGTAATCTGTTCAATGAGACAACGTTAAAGATTAACACTCACAAGTCAGACACTCTACTGAATCTGACTATATCGCCAATACCACCAGCAGTTGTTCTGTAATTCTTCAGTCTTCGATATCAAAAGCTGGCAGTGAATATTCGGGAAAAACATGGCCGCTTTTATACACGCCGCATTGAATATTTTGAGCCTTCCGATTGGTTAACTCTTCTATTGGTGAGCTATAAAATGAGTCAGCTCATTTTGGCTGGCTCACTAGTACACCAGGGTACCCAAAAATTCCAATATTTTTAATATCAGCTTCAGATTTTTTTGTTAAAAAGTTTAATAATTTTGATAAATTCAACATTATGGTTAAAAAATAGTGAATTTTATATGGTGTTTTTTTTTTTTTTTAGAATTAGCATAAGAAAACAAATTCACGGATTTGGTCATAAACAAAAACTTCACTAGAATGACATCAAAATCTGTGAAAATCTTTCATCCTTTAATAGTCAGTTGGGCTTAGTTTAATTTGTAATGTATATAAATGTAGGTAGAAAAAAAGCAAATAAGATAGTGAAAGTAACAAAGCACTGTCCAGGACCCCCAATCAAGCCTCACCCCTCATCTGGGGTGGGGGGGAGAAGGGTTAGCATGCATCTGTAATGCATGTGCTATATGAAGACAAGTATTTCACAAAAAAATTCAGGAGTCGCACTAAACATGAAATAGGCTTATACTCAAGTATATGCAGTACTTGTAAAATCTATTTCAGTAAAACTTAGAGTAGTTTTCTCTCAATTATCTAAACACTTATTTTCCATTCTTTTCCCATTTTCTTTTCATGATCAGGCCATACCTTTTCATACAAAAATCAATCGAAAGAAAGTTTTACACAATCAAAGGTAATCAAGAACACCGGTTCTCATTCGATCACCGAAGTTAAGCATCGTAGAGCCAGGTCAGTACTTAGATGGGGGACCACTTGGGAACACCTGGTACTGTAAGCCCCCAAAGTCCAACCCTTACCTCACAGTCGGTGGGGGGGTGTAAAACGGTAGTGTCAGAGCTATGCCGCCCGGAACTTCGTTCCTGGTAGGGCCACCCAAGGCGGACAGGTCTGACACACACGCCAGCTAACAAGGGCTCTGGTGAAAATCCAAGGAGCGTCTGCATTGGTAACCGGCGGCTTCTGGTCGTTCCTGTCTCTGCGTCTGTGGGAACCCCGCGGCAAGCAAGAACATTATCCAAGTAGGCCTGGGTACCCTACTTCTGTAATTTATCCCAAGAATCTTCTTCTCATAACAGGAAGAAGCCGGCTCAATCCGCCCAGGGTGAATGCCACATCAGTACAGTACAGTAAGAACACACACACACACACACACACACACACACACACATATATATATATATATATATATATATATATATAGGGAAAAGGTTATAATTGTTCCAACAAGAGAAAAATGTATAATTTAAAAAAAAGAGAAACCACAAACGTTTTTGGTGATAATGTGAATTTGTTTTAGCGTATATATTATACTTTATTCTTCATATTTTTGCTACACGGTTCTGGTCTCCGGACTGTCAAATCTATTTCCATGGAAATAGATTTGACGATCTCAAAGGTAATGTAGGGATAGGAAAACATCTCTCATCAGCACATCTATCATCACCACCTCCCAGACCAAACTTAATGATTGTATTACCACTTAGACAGAAATTCACTTTTGCCAACAGTCCAAAATACAGAAAATGAACAATGAAACATTAAAGAACATAAGGAAAATTTATTCCTTTAAAAATTGATTTGTTTAATTTGCCTGAAGAAGGTGATGAGACTGGAAACCTGTGTAGCAAAAATATGAAGAATAAAGTACAATATATACACTAAAACAAATCCACATTATAACCAAAAATGATTGTGGTTTCTCACTTTTTCTAAAATACACACACACACATATATATATATATATATATATATATATATATATATATATATATATATATATATATATATATGTACATTAAGAAATGGACAAAGTCCGACAATTTATTAAAGACATTTTTATGTTTAACTTTCTTTTTTATAGATACAAGTATTTTGATTCGGGCCGGTAAATGTTATTTAATACTGTTTATTATAAACAGAGCATTTACTAAAATACTTGTATCTATAAAAAAAGTATGTTAAACATAAAAATGTCTTCAATAATATATATATGTATAAAGAAGTGAGGGTTTTTTAATTATTAATCTGACAGATTTTATTACTTAAATGTTATTTTTAGTGAATACTTCATATTTGAGTAGACACGCTGTTTTATTTATTAAAAAGTATATTTATTTTCGTCTACTGGCTTGAATATTCAAGAAATCGTCTTAAAGAAAGACATGTACTCTCCAGTAGGAATCAAATGTTAGATTTGACGTGTTTTAGACCTCTCAGCCACAAAAGACATTGATGATCAAGTTGAATAGTGCCTTTATCCTTCACTGAAACACTCAGTGAAAACAATGCAGAAGATAACAGGAAGGAAGGGGGCTAATATTTTGGAATACATTTGTAAGTGTCAAAAATATAGTTCTCATCATATTTGATTTACACATCAAGATAAAGGTAGAGAATTATTACAAGCTCTTTGGCAAGATTTTCTTTCATCACGTTGAAAAACTGGTTCTCATCTGATCACCGAAGTTAAGCAATGTCAAGTCTGGTCAGTACCTAAATGGGTGATCAGTTGGGAATACCAGATGCTGTAAGCTTAGATGTGTGGGTGGTGTAATGAATAACGGCTCAGAATAAGAAATCGGAGAGTTAAGTTCAAATACATTCACTTATGTACAAATACCTTCAGAAAAGGTATGAATCCACCTCTTCTCTCCACAGCTATCGATTAAAAAGTACAATATTTATCTGTAAAGAATATTATGAATGCATTGATTTTATTTACTTAAATAAAGTGTTAAGTAGTCTTTTCTATCAATTTCTAATGGTAACTCAAAGAAAATGATAGCATTATGTAAATGTTTAAATATTCTCAGTTACAGTAAACATATTAAGAGACCAAAACCTATCCAGTGTACCTTTATAAAAATAAAAGATCAGCAAAGTTTAACCAATGTACCTGCTGCTGCCAAAAAAAATGTATCAAAAGGATTTTTTTCTCGAGACTGCTATTAATGTATACTCCCTTGGCAATGTTTATTTTAAAAAGCTATTTTTAGAATTATAATAAAACCCAAACATATGAAACTGGATTTTTTTCTCAGCTCTTTTACTGAATTTGTGGTGAGAGCAAATGAAAAAAATATATATATATATATATATATATATATATATATATATATATATATATATTTTCAAAATTTATCAATACAGTTGTCATTATGGTGGTATTCTAAGCATAGTTTAGATGTGGCACAAGGCCAAAAGTATGGTGCACCAAAATGATCTTCTAAGCATAGCTTAGATGTGGCACAAGGAAAGCCAAAAGTGTAGAGCACCCAGTGGGGATTGAACTCACTACTCAGTCATAATTGTCATAACAAGACAAGCTTGGTAACCATTACACCATGTTAAAGTAATCAATAATTATTTTCTAAGTGTAACTAAGATATGGCTCAAGACTGAAAGTATGGAGTACCCAGTGAGGATTGAAGTCACTACTCAGTCATAATTGTCATAACAAGACAAGCTTGGTAACCATTACACCATGTTAAAGTAATCAATAATTATTTTCTAAAGTGTAACTAAGATATGGCTCAAGACTGAAAGTATGGAGTACCCAGTGAGGATTGAAGTCACTACTCAGTCATAATTGTCATAACAAGACAAGCTTGGTAACCATTACACCATGTTAAAGTAATCAATAATTATTTTCTAAGTGTAACTAAGATATGGCTCAAGACTGAAAGTATGGAGTACCCAGTGAGGATTGAAGTCACTACTCAGTCATAATTGTCATAACAAGACAAGCTTGGTAACCATTACACCATGTTAAAGTAATCAATAATTATTTTCTAAGTGTAACTAAGATATGGCTCAAGACTGAAAGTATGGAGTACCCAGTGAGGATTGAAGTCACTACTCAGTCATAATTGTCATAACAAGACAAGCTTGGTAAACCATTACACCATGTTAAAGTAATCAATAATTATTTTCTAAGTGTAACTAAGATATGGCTCAAGACTGAAAGTTTGGAGTACCCAGTGAGGATTGAAGTCACTACTCAGTCATAATTGTTCTAGTGAGACAAGCTTGCTAATCATTACATCATGTCAAAGTGCCCCTGTTACTTGTTATTATGTGTTTGCTTAAATTTTTTGTCCTCTTGTTTACAGATATTTTTATAAATTTATGAATAAAAAAATTTCTTATTTATTTCTTTATAATATGGTAAATGATAAATATTGCCTTGTAGTTGGTTCACATATTTTTTATAAGTTTGTACATTCTAAATTATCCTTTAAAATCTAATGAATAAAGTCAGTTCTTGAGAAAAAAAATACATAAATCCAGTTTTATATATTTGAGTTTTAGTAAAATTTTTGAAAGTAGCTTTTAAAAAAAAAACAAAAAAAAAAACCAAATGTCAAGAGTAAATCTGTTTCTTTGAAACTCCATTTTTTTGGCATTCTCCTGCTGCAAAATAACACTTTTTATGTTTGCCAAATCAGCACACTTTCAGTATAAAGCTTCATTGACCCAACCAAGTTATTGGCAATAACCATCTGAAATGATGATCCTTCCATAGTCCAGCAGATTGTAATGAATGACATTTTTCATATTCCACCAGATCCATCTTGAGGAGATATGTATTATTTTATTTTATAACAGTGTTTATATGCAAAACCCATTTTTCACCACCTGTAACAATGTGATACAAAAATGTGAGATTGTCAATCCTGTGTTGAGAGCCTGCTGCAGATAATGGAACATTGTGCCTGGTTCTTAAATGAAAGCTCACGAGAAACCCAAATTCACTCTTTGCACATTTTCTCAGTTTATTTTTGCACCAAATTTATGGATAGTCAATAGTCTCATTCAAAGTAGGACATCTTCCAGAGTGAGATCTGTCAGATGTGTCACAATAAGGCAGATTGATTTTTTTATATGTTTTGAGAAAATCAACATTGCACTCAGTGCAAAAGCTGGAGCTCGATGTCATAAACACTGATACTAAAAATTAGATTCACTGCTTTTACCAATTTTTGAGCATTTAGTTTTTAAAGATTGACTGAAAAACGTAGGTTTTTGTTTACAAAATGACTTCAAAATTTTACTTAATAAAGTTGTTTTTTTTTTTTTTTTTTTTTTTTTTGCATTAGATACACTGGAGAACATTTTCAAACCAGAATTCTAATTACAAATCAACATAAGCAAAATATGAAATTTACTGCATTCAATAAATGAAAACTGTAAAAATTATAAAAGATTACAAAAAAAGGCTAATCAATAAATAAGATCTTACACCATTTCGTAGGTCAAAATTAATTAAAACAAAAACTAGATAAAAGTGTATATAACATCATAATACTGCAAAGCAGAAATTATAAGAGAAAATGTTTAAAATTTGCATTGTTTATTGAAAATCAAACTAAAACTACTGCACTGAATTACATCATAATATAACTAAATTGTTCAGTATAATTTCCCTTTGAAGTAAATGAAAGTTGTATTTGATGGTACAATAATCTAATAATATCCTTGTGCCTTGGTTCTTGTCCATATACAATTTGTGAAGCTTCAGTAGTTAATTCAACTGTTCTTTCCAGACCTTGTGAATGTTCAGGTGAATTTGACAACATTCATTAGAACCTCTTGCATTTGAAAACCCTTCTGCAAGCACAGGCTCACAAATTCTATTTTGTGAAAGGATAATCAAATTTGACCAGTGTGTCATTTCAGTGCTGATAAATGTAATTTTTAAATCTCTTCTTTGGTGGATCACTACTTCTGAAACAAAAAATATTTTTGTAAAAACGCTTGATTCCACTGGTGAAGTTGAATTAAAAAGAACAAAAACTTGTAATTCCAACGGATAATTTATTGTTAAAACGGATATATTTCGGAAAGCTTTTTGTAATCCTTGATCACTCTTGAGAAATAAATGAAACAGTAACTAAGCTACATTGTATATGTTATAAATTCAAATTAACTAAAAAAAAAAATTTGATTGAATTAGGTTCATGAGACATACGTAAGCTGAAAGCATGAGAAATGCTTAAAGAAAAAAATGTCATTTCCAAACCAGAGTAGGAAAAAAAATATTTTTATTGGAAAATTTACTTATACTTGGCTATATTTTTGTGATGTAATTTGAATGAAATTTTAAAATTAGTCTTGTATACTGACATAACTAATTAAATATGAATAAATATTTGTTAATCTAATGGACAATTTTTTATAGCCTCTTCCCTCAACTTCAATGCATCTGACTTCAACATTGTGAAAAGAATATTTTATAGAAGCAAAACGAAAGCATTGTGCTGTAAATTTTGTATTTCAGTCGACTGTTACTTTATTCTCTGGATCATGTTGAAGATAAACATTTGTTGGTTATTGTATTTATTATCCCTTTTAATTACAAACCAACTAACTGTATATATTTCAATTATAAATTTTATAAGGCTGTACTATAAGGCTTTCACTGATGTCTGGAATTAAATTCCAGTGCTCCAATTTCGAACCTAAACTTAATCTTTAGTCTCATTACCTAGAAAAAAATATTCTGTGTCATTTTTTTATTATGTCCCAAACTTTCAAACTAAGAGCAATACCATGCTGCCCTAGCATCATAAACACTAGTTTTTTAGACTTTTAAACCACAGCTGATATGCATGAGCCTTCATTGCATCTGTATATATGTTTGGTTACTTATGAAATTTCCTAATGATTAAAACAAAAATCTGTCATAGCTAAATCTGTATGAGCATGGATTTGGCGGAATCTCCCAATCTTATTTTTTTCTTGAGTTTTGTTTGGCAGGGTGTGCTCTTGCATTATCATGCTGAAGAAAATCACCTTTGCTTTTTACAAGTAACTTTCGACATAATGCCTTGTTTATCCAATCAAGTTTCTGGCAATAAACATTGACAGTGATGGTACTTCCATGCTCCTAATGAAGGAAACCTTTCATATTCCACCAGACAGAAAGTAAAGTCTTCTGCAGACAGAATCTTGATTTAGGTGTTGGCACTGGTTTCTCATTTTGTGATAACTACTATTGTTTTTAGTTTTCTGTTGACATGCAAAACCCATTTTTCATCACCTGTGACAATGTGATGCAAAAATAAAAGGTTAAAAACCTGCTGCATATGGTAGAATGTTGTGTTCAGCTCTCAAGCAAGAATTGATGAGGAACCCAAGTTCCCTTTTAGAAAGTTTTCGCAGTGAAATTCTAAAATGTCCTAGAAATAATACACTATCGAATATAGAAATGCAACAGTTGCATAATCCCTTACATGGATCCTTGTGCAATTCTTGTTCAATGAGTTATTTGTTTTGATGAAGTCCTTTTGGTTCAAACCTAATAGAGATCTTACTTTAAGGCTCTGAATATTGCTACCATATCTAGTCTGGTGCACCTGTTATATATTTAGAGATTCTTGATAAAATCCAAAGAAGAATCTGCAATGTTATTGGTCCTGACTCAGCATCTCAGCTTCAGTCACTTTCCCACTACTGTAACATAACTTCCCTATGCTTTTCTATAAATATTTTCATGGTAATTGTTATGATTAACTCTCTGCTATCGTACC